CCTTCCAAACCCCCCCCCCACTTACACCCTGCATGCACTTGGGCAAGTGCCTCCCCTTTCTGACTTCCCCCATCTGTAAAATGGGGGTAACAGACTCTAAATACGTAAAGCCTGCACCTGCCGGGCGTGCGATTCACCGAGCCATGCTCCTGAGGCAGTGGCTGTGTTCATTTGGGTTTGCACACACATCACCTGTCACCCAGCAAGCAAACCGGAGCCTGTGCTTTGAAGACTGTCCTTGTAAAGTGATTATTCTTGGACATAATCACTTAATGAGGCAACAATTTCATTGTTTATTGAGGTGCTTAAACCTGAATCGTCCCTCTTACGGTGCACAGGTGACCCCACTTCCATTGTAACTGCTGCCTGCCCTGTTGTTATGACGACTGGTTTCCCAAACAGCCCCCCTATTTTCTACACATCCTCTCGGCTTCCTCATGCCCGAAAGCCCATGAGCCCTAGAGACAAGAGCAGGGTGATTTTTTTGAGCTTCCACAGGAAATACTGTCAAGTCTTTAAATTAGCCAATTGGCTATCTGGGGCTTTTTGCGTCAGCATCAGAGTGACCCTGACAGTGAACCTCCGTAAATGTTCCTACGAGCTAGAAACTGCGCCACAGAAGATCAGCTGGCATAGCAGTTTCCTGCTGGCATTGACTTTGCAGGAAAATGAAGCAGAAGTCAGAGGAACGTCCACCACGAATCTCACGCACACATCAGAGTCTGATGTCAACAGATCATTCTAAAAAATTCAAGTTTGGGGTATTGTTGCATTATTTTTAAAACTAATTCAATATTAACACATGAGTGTGTGTTTTCAGCAAATACTGAACTCACTTGACACATGGGAATGTTAAAAACACAGTTATTAATGCGGCTAATCTTAATACCAGTCATGTGTCCCCATGGTTTCTGGCAGAGCACCTCCCCCTCCTCACTTACCCACTTCCTTTCCTCTCTCTCCCTTGCTCCTATTCACCTTCTTTCCTCTCTGACATCCCTCGGGATGAAAGGTGCAGTCACCCTGCTCGCAGCCTACCCGGTACCTGTCCCCTTTTTTTCCCCGCCAAAAGGACCCAATACTTTAAGGGTCGTATGTGTCCAGCTAATGTGATTTCCTTCACTCCTGCACATAACATAGTCCTGGCCAAGGGGACTCAAGCAAAGCTTACAGGGTTTTGGGAAAGCTGTTTTACAGATTTAAAAAAAAAAAAAAAAGGTGGATTGCTCTTCTCTGCATTCCTCCCTCTTCCTAGCTCAAAGATGCTGCAGCATCTTGCAGCTAAATGAAACCCACACACCAGGCTGGAAAGAATAAACTCAAAGGGCCCAGGTCCTGGAGAGCATCCTTGAGTAGGGCAGCTCCCTACCTCCAGAGTTTCTGTCACTTGCAAAAGTAAACCCTCTACTTGCTAAGCCACATCTGTCTGGTTTCTGTTCGTGCCACCAAACACAATTTCTACCCGATACAAAAGTGAGGAGGGTTCCCTTCACTCAACAAATATTCACTGAGCGCTTACTCTGTGTGGGGCCCCGTGCTGAGTAAAGAGATGGACAATAAATGAACAGGACAATGACAGGCTGGGGTATTAGGAAGGAAAAGACCAGAGAGTAACCGGGGAAGGCTGGTCTCTCTAAGGAGGGGACGTCTGAACCGAGAGCTGAAGGGTGAGGTAGACTCAACCATGTGATGAGTGGGAGGAGGGAGAGCACATTCCGGCATATGCAAAATCCTGGTGACAGGAAAGTGGGGGGGCTGTTCAAAGGACAGAGAGGAAGCCAGTGTGGCTGGAACCCAGGGAGGGAGGGAGAGAGTGGGGGTGGCGGTGAGAGGGAGAGAGAGGGCCTGGGCCGCGCAGGCCAAGGGTTGGAGTTGTATTCTATGTATAACAGAATAAAGCTACCAGGGTGTTAGACAAGACAGTGGCAGGACCTCATATATGTTTTAAAAACGTTCTGCCTGTGACATGGTGAGTGACTTGTCAGGGCAAGAACGAAAGCAGCTGCTGCAGAGGTCCAGTGAAAGGTAACGGTGGCTTGGGCTGAGGCAGGGCCAGCGGGGATGCAGAGTGGACTGTCGCCCTGATGGAACTGCCTGTGATGTCCTCACAGCCTTGCCAGTGCCCTTCGAACCCAAACAGGCAGATTCGGAGAGGGGCTGGAGAAAGATGTTTTTAAAATGCTGAGGCGGCAAGAAGGAAATACAATTAAAAGGTAATTGGAGAAAAAGATGGGTGAATTCACAGCCAATGTTTTGATATTTTTAGTATTCAGAGGGAAAGAATAGGAGAGTGGCGGGAGCTATTACATGGGGACTGTCCCAGCATATAAATAAGGAATTAACAGAATTTCCAAGAGGTGGTAAGAACACTGAGGTCCTAGCTGGCCGACGTCATGACTTCCTCCAGCAGTGCGGGCTGCTGAGAAACGGGCCTGGAAGGAGCCGAGGGGAAGGGCGGCCCGGGTTTGTGCTCAGGCCGAGCCCGGCGCTGGACGGAGGGGCGAGGGCCCGGTGCCTGGGTGGGCAGCACTGAAGCACTGCGCCCTTCGCACTGCGCGCACCCTGACTCTTCAGTGATCCCCAGCCTGCATTCCAGAGCTGAAACCCGGAGAAGCTGAGCAACCCGCTCACTGTCACACAGCTGGTAAGGTCTTTTGTTCAAGTCTAATTCCTTAGCCACCGAATATACTGTCTCCAAGCAGAAAAACACGAAGATGCTGGTGAAAAGAGCAGGGAAAGGTCCGGGCACCGGAGGGCATGGCGTATGCGAGAACCTCTTGCTGAGGAAGGTCTCCTGTGCGACGCACAAAGAAGCCAAGGCTAGGGCGCTGGCTTTTGAAGGGAAAAAAGAAAAAAAATGCTTTTACTGCGAGGTCGACCAGCAAGGAGACAGAAATCAAGGCTCCAATCTGCCCCAGGTGAGATTTAGGGGTTTCAGCACCAGATCCTCCAGGACAACGGACCCTCGGCTTCTGAACGTGTCCAGGCGTCCAGGTGCCAGTCATGTCCCGGTCCCTTTCCGTGTGGGAGCAGTTAAAGTTTCACAAGTATTACTCTTGTTCACAAGTGTTACTCATAAACTTTGGTTCTGGATACTGATAGAAACAGGACAGGGCCAGTTTCAGCTGGTTCTATGGTTACACATCAGGCTCACTGGAGGGAAGCGCATGACGCTGTGAACAGAGGCCCAGACCTGGCTGGGTGGTTGCCTGGGTGTGGCTGTGCCACAGGGTGGTGCCCTGGCTGAGGGAAGGTCGAGTGGCTCTGGGCTGGACTTCCGGGCTGACGGGCATCTGGCCAGCAGCCCCCGACTCGGCCTTGCCCAGCCGCCTGCTCAAATGCCCATGAAGTCAGAAGACCAAGGCCCACAACATCACCCAAAACAAAGACCGACAGACAACCTAATCCCAGGCTCTGGCACCACTTATAAAGCAGATGGATCTAGGTTAAGAAAAATCTACTCAGGTTTCTTTGCTTTGTTCCACAGAAGCCACGTGGCGAGATGTAGGCAGATACTCTGTGCTGACCCCATCTGACACAGAGACGCACAGCTGGAAGCATCTGGGGCTGTTCTAACCAGAACACTGGGCAGCCAGCCGGCATGACCTTAGGGGCATCTCAGACTCAGACAGAGAGCTGGTTCCTACACACACTCACACAGCACAAACACCATCACACACCACACACCACACGCACTCACACAGACCACACTCATATCACCACACATCACACACACACACACAGGCCATGTTTCTACATCCATAAAGCGACTATAAATTCCAGAAAACAGCTGGGAAGAATATAAACAGCATACTCAGCTGACCCAATTGTGGAGGGTGGACGTGGGAAGTGGGGGACCCAGGGAAATTATACACTGTGGAGTCACAACTTGCATTTACCTGGTATGTAATTTACCTGAATCCAACTGACAGTCGTTCGGTATTGAAACAGAAAAGGGAGAAACCCCCGTTCACTTCTCCATGGCCTTTCCCCCAGCTCTTCCGCCCTTCAAGCTAGTTTAGCTTTCACAAACTCCAGATATTTTCCTAAACACAAAGTTTACAAAACAGTTCATTCCGTCAGCTTTGAGCTTCCAAGCAATTAAAAGGATTCTCCCAGACCTTCTGACTCTAAACATGACCCCCAGCAAAGAAGCAACAATGCACCCTGGACACGGGACCCCAAGGAAGGGCTTAAACGCTGACAGAGATTGTTTCCTTCTGTCCGCTCCTCTATACTTTCTACATTTTCTATAAGCAGCATGCATTACATTTGAAACCAGAAAAAATGTTATTCTGCTCAAAGACTGTTCACCTTTAATGAGCCCATCAGATAACCAGGATGCAGGTGATGTTCTGAGCGCCCCCCGCAGCCCTGCTCAGGGACTCGGCGCAGGGAGGGGGTGCAGGTGGCCCTCCAAGGACTAGAGTCCTCAGCCTTGAGGATGCTGGCAGGAGGCCCTCATGCCAAGTGGTACATATTTTCAAGAAAGCCAAAGGCAGATGGCCGTGGGGGAGGGAAGTAAATTCGTGCTTCGCAGTTACAGTAAAACGGACACCGGCCGGATTTAGAAACAAGAGGCCTGAATTCTGATCCGGGCTCTTCACGTCTTAGCTGGGTGACCTTGTCAATCTCTTCCTCTCACTGAACCTGTTTCCTCACCTAGCAAATGGTGGTAATAATGGATTTTAAGGTTAGAGAGTTATGTAAGCAAATGTCCAAAAGAAAAATTCTCACATATAGCAGATGCGCCACAAATGCTATCTGAATTTAAATAATAGATCCAATCTCAGAAAAAAGTGTGAAGTAGTGACAACAGAAATCCTCTTATTATTTTGAATGTTCACAGTGTTTGTGCTCAAAAACATGTTTATATTAGTTTTCTAGCCATAGGTTCCCTTGTATCAAGAGGGGCTTTGACAAACCAAAAAGTGTTAGAAGAATATTAAGCCCACAGAGGTCTGAGAAATGACTGGAGGGCCCATGGTGAGAGGAGATGCGAGAGCCGTCTTCCAATACTGAGAGAGCTGTCTGCGCAGGCTCGGTCCCAGGGGCCCGCTAGAAATCACAAGGTTTCTCACAAGGGTAACTGCCCCACGAAGGTGTGGGGAGGCCTTGTTCCCTAGGGAGTTGTATCCCATCCTCAGTGATGCAGGAGAAAACTGTGCTAAAACCAGACTAGACTATCGAGCGATCAGACTATTCTCTGAGTCCCATCCACTGTAAAATCAAGAATTCTATAGTTAACCCCCCATTAATTAGAAAGGCAGTGTTCAGGAGTGTGGGCTCTGGATTCTGGCCCTGGACTGGGACAAGTTACTGCACAGTCTAAATCTCATCCCCTCACTTGTAAAAGGGGGACAGTAATAGTTCCCACCTATCCCAGCCGTGAGGATGAACCCAGGTGATTTACATAAGTGCTGCTGAGACCGTACCTGGCCCTGGGTCAGTCATCAGCACAGGTTAGCTAACGGTGATATTAAGTGCCGTTCATTTTATTTGCCGTTTCCATTTATTTAGGTCAGTCGTTTTGCTGCAAGTCTCTAATTCCGCAATCTTTCATGTCACATTTACTAAATCAATTATTATAGCAATTTAAAAGTGGAGGCGCCTTAGAGAAAATTGAAATGTTTTATTCTCTGGAGAACCTAGAAAAAACAACAGTACAAAAGGGGATGTTTAAGGATGTAATTAAAGGGACTTGTGATTAAATCGAAGCGAGGCTAAGAAGCTATTAACCTACAGAAAGGCTGCGCTGGGCTGGGGCATGGCAACCTCAGTCTCCCCTTCTCCTCGGGAGACCCCCTCAGACAACAGAAGTAAAGAATCAATCCAGCAAACCGATTTTATGAGGCCTAAACCACGCCAGACCAATTTAACTTCCTTCTGGGGCAGGAGGACGGGCTTCGGGCACACGGCGAAGCAACGGGTGTCAGATCCGGTGGCCTCAGCTAAGTCTTCAACTCCAGCCCACGTAATAGCTGAGTCTCAACACATAACCGAATTCTGCCGGCTGCTGGAAATGATCCCCAGACATGGGAACCAGAGGCTCAGGATCACTACTGGAGTAAGGAGGAAGCAGTGGTGGGACTGGCAGAAAACCATGAGCCCCTTCCACCAGTATTTACGAAGGCAAGCTCCCCACGGTGCTAGCACAGAGGACACAGAGTGAGGAGTCCACTCCCTGTCCTCACAGCTCCTGAGGCTGGGTGGCCAGCACAAAGGGGCTTCGATTTGACACTATAGGAGAGTGACCAGGGGCTCAGAAAGAAGGGAACTTTGGAGACAGAGGGAACTGGGGGTGAGAGCTATGAAGTAGTTGAGAGAATGTCTTGACCGGGCAATTTAACTGAGTCCCCCCTGCCTTGAATAGGTGACCTCCAGAGACCTCCAGCTCTAGGATTCCAGTAATGAAGCCACTTTTGTGATTTTATGATCTGGACTGTCCTGAATCCAGCCTTTCCTTTTGCCCCCTGTTGGAAAAAGGTTGATGGAAATGGGGAGAAATTTCCTATCACAACACACTCACCGTGGGCCGTAGGTGCCCCCCAGAAGCCTGGGTCTGAGTTCATGGGTGGAACACCGGTGGGAGTGGGTGAGACAGGGGCAGCAGGGAGGAAGAGTAAAGAGCCCTGGCTAATCTCCCAGGGTGGCTGGAACCCAGGAGGTGCGTAGTTTTCTCAAATGACCACTCTAACTAAGGATGTCCAGTTCCCAGCCTGAAAAGTCCACAGGGATCAAGCCACTTTTCTCAAGGCCCCGCGAGACTGCCAGTGGGCCTCCAGGGAAGGCTTGTTTCCATCTTGATCTTCAGAAATGTCCCTCTTCCCTGGGGCTGACAGAAATTTCTAGGGAATTGAAATGATCCTGCCCATCTAAGAGTCTCGCCAAGTTTAGGCTGCTTGCTGTCCTGGGACTGGAGCTGAGCTCTTGCTCTGAACGACGCAGGTCTTCAGGAGCCCCTGCCTGGCAGGGCTGTCCTGTGTCTGGCTGGGTGCACAAATGAGCATGCTTGTCCCAGGCCCCACCTGTTGCAGGGACCAGACCTCATGATGCACGATGGGGTCTGATTCAGGATGGCAGAGTGATAAATGCATAAGCTTTGGAAATGAATAAATATGTACACATTTCGCCAGCACACAATAGCTCTCTCATACCCATAAATATGAGCACACACAAAACACATACACACACACACACACGCACCCTCCACTCCCAGTCACCAAGGCAACCATTCCCTGACTCTGTTCTTTCTCACACTGGATCTTTTTAGGGTTTCCTTGGAGTGCGGCTCCGGCCTTCGACTCTGCTGAGGAGAGCCATCCCTCCTCGGGAAAGGCCGTGACATATGTTACCAGGTCCACTGCAAAGGCTTACTATGTCCTGTCCTCATGTGGACGCTGCATGCAGCCAACACATCACTTGGAGAGTCGCTAAGAGCATCAGCAACACAAAATCACCGTTCCGCTGCTGCCGCGAGTCAGAATAACTGAAGGCCAATCGAGCGTCATGCCTGGCAGCGTTTTCACCGACAGTTCTCACTTTTTTTTAATAAAAAAAAAGGGAATCACAGAGTTCACATGCAAAGGGAGCCAGCGCTGGTCCTACAGATGGAGAGACCCATTCTCAAGATGCAAGCGACCGCTCTTCTTTAGAAAGCACGGCTCGGGATCACCGACCTTTTGAGTGTCGGTCACCTTTCTTTCCTCCTTATTAATACACATTATAGTTCAAATTAACCTCACTGTCTACTTTAGACGCCATTACTCAAAAACGCCCAAAGCATGAAAGAGTCAAGAAAAGGTTAAAACATCTTAACCCAGATACTGATCTGGTTTTGACAACAGCCTGGTAACAGGTACTGAGACTTCCTTGCCTTTCCGCATCAGCACCGGGTTGATGACACAGGCCCGCCTGCAGCCCAGTCTGTCCGTCTGTCTGCCTCTCTACCCTGCGACTGTTCTGTGCCGGCTACAGTGTCAGCAATGAGCCTGACCCGGGGCCGGGCGGGAGGTCCTGGGCGCCCCTGGGTGCCGCCCGCCCGGCCTCGCCTAAGGCCCG